GTGAATTTGCTCTGTAAATCTTCACCCAAATCAAAATTTAAAAAATAAATTAAAAAACAAAACAACAAAAAAAAGTCAAGGAAATGTTTATATATGGAAGGAAATTGTCTTTGTTGGTTACCAGGGGTGGGAGGGGAGGGGAGGGCACACTGTTAGATAGATAGAGACAAGTATTGATTTGGGTGAAGAGAAGGGCAACGTACCAAATGTGAGTGATCAACATGGTGGCAGTGAGGAAGAGGAAGACACAGAAAGGTGCATGAGAGGTACAGACAACAAAGATGAACCTTTTTGCACATACAGCACTGCGTTGTCAGTGAAAGCAAACATGGGTATATGGGTGGATAGATGGGTGGACAGGCTGAACTAGTAGGTATGTCTATGCAGGGGGGAGTGTGCCCAAGACCATGTATAGGGTTGGCAGACAATGCTTCTACAAGGGTACTGCTATGTTCTGTAAGAATTCCCAGGTATAGTAGAGCTGACAAGGGACAAGGTTGTAGTTACTTTTTGGCCAGTCAGCTACCCTGAGGGAGCAAGTAGTCAGACCTGTGTGCTTGGACCATGGTCGCATGGGACATCAAGCTCAATTGGTATACCATGCTACACAAAAACACTGTTCTGCATCCTACTTTGGCGAGTAGCGACTGGGATCTTAAAAGCTTGCAAGCAGCCATCTAGATGCAATGATGGGTCTCTCCTCGTCCAAAGAATGAAGGAAACCAACGATTCATGGAAACAATTAGTCCAAGCGACTGGTACACCATGTGATCCGCAGCCTGTACAACTATGAGGCCAGAAGAACTAGATGGTGCCCAGCTACCACTGTCAACCACTTGGAGGCGGATCTTTGTAGGAGATCCCGGATAGAGAGGGAGAACAATGTGGAACAAAACTCAAAATCACAAACAAAGGGACCAGGTTTGCTGGTCTGATAGAGCCTGGTGAAACCTCTGAGACTATGGCCCCCAGTTACCCTTGAGGCCTGGAACTGAACTCACTCCTGTGCCTTTCAGCCAAACAACAGACAGGCAGATAGGGTGTATATTTACATCACGTAGATACACTCCTTGTAGCGATCAATCCTGGGAGAACAGAAGAGCAATGTTTGCCCAGGGAGACAGCTCGGGGGGCAGGAGTGCATAGGAGGGAAGGACACAGGGAAGAGGGAACGAACTACAGGGAGGAAGTGAGAAGAGCGCTGTTCATTGTGGGGAACTACAGTCAATGTCAGGAAACAAAATGTGTATGAACTGTTGCACGAAAAATGAAATTACTCTGTAAACTTTCTCCCAAATCACAATGAAAAAAAATTAACTCTCCAAGGGGGACAGCTGTCACCATGGGCAACTGGAAGGAAATGGAGGTGGATTGGCCCAGTTAGATTTCAAGCTGATCTCATGGCTCCCCTGGGGTCGGGTTTTACACACATGTAAGTACACACAGAACAACACACAGATGTATACATACAGAGATGTGCATGTGGAGACCCTGTGAGAGCCGGAAGCTGTGTGCAGCGGCAACCTGTCAGCAGGGAAACTCAAACACTTTACACGAGTCACAGGAAAGCGGTCAGACTGCACCCTGTGAAAGGTGGAGAACTTACGAGACCTGGAAACACAAGGACGTGCCGTCAAGTTCCAGCTCTCACAGGCTTCGCTGCATTTATACACACACCCACACATACCCACAGAGTACACGTGATAGGTGTGAATGTGTGAGCATGTGTGTAAATACACACATGTATTCTGGAGGAATGAGAATGAGAACGTTTTTCACTGTGTGTCAGACACGCATTTCTGTGTTAACCAGGCTGTCCCGCGTCACCAGCAACGGCCACTCGGTGCCCAGGCGGTGAACAGTCTTATTCTCCCATTTTGTTCTGTGCGTTTTGTTTCTGGTTCCTGCAACGACACCCTGCCCAGGTCTACTGAGGAAGTCAAGCCAAAGGCCTGGCTACAGAGGGCCCCACATCCTGGGACGACCCCACATGGACACCCACTGCATGTGGGCCTTGCCAGTCTTTCATCGGTCACTCAGAATGTCCTGGAATGACTGTTTCTTTGGCCACCTTCCACTTACCACTGGCATCCGTTCATAGGCGCGGATTGGAGAGAGTCTGTCTGCAATAAAGGAGACAGGATCAGGTGACATGCTGGCGGTATGGACCCCACTAAAACACGTGCAGGTAGGTGCGCTGCAGACCTGAGGGGCTGCCGCGGATTTTGTCCATTTTCTGTTCCAGAGACACAATCTGCTTTTCCAGCTCATTGTTCAGTTCAAGTTGTGTCTCGTACCGGGTCTTCCATTCACCTCCTGAGTGAAAAATGGAAAAACCAACATCACCCCATCACCTCTCAGTCATTAAACCAATGCCAAGGAGCTCCCCAGCCTCTGCCACTATTTTATCAGCAGTAATATGGAGGAAGACGGGCATGTGGTGTCAGCAACGTTCTTTCAGAGTGACAGGCACAGTGGCCCACAGGTTACCTGCTGACCTCACCACACCACTGTGGTCCGGTTGGTCACGATGCCCCTTCCACCCATGACCTCCTCAGATCCCTCATCTGGTAGTTACTGCCTCATGTGTCTTTACAATAAACCTCCTCCTCACAATAGCTACTTCCTCGCGTAACTTTGCAATAAATCCCTCTCACCTGACAGTTACATCCTCACATATTGATAAAATATCAGAAGCCCCGCCCTCATGGCCAGCCTGTTCCCTGGGAGGGGCTCAAGATGGGGCGGGGGTTGGCTCAGGTCAAGGATTTGAGGGCAGGACAGAAGCTTCGCCGGAGTCTGAGGAACAAACCCTTGGTTTCTGACGGACCAGTGCGGACAAGCCGTTCAGTGACTCGGCGATGAGGTGAGGGCTGGGCTTTGAGGCGAGGGCTGGGCTTTGGCGGGTGCTGTGGCCTCGTCGCTGGTGAACATGGGGGAGCCCTGATCTGTGATGAGGGAAGGCGGTTCTTTGCAGCAAGCCGTTTTCCTGAACACGGACTGGGGGACTCCTCCAACCCGCTGTTTTCAGGACCAGGGGCCCAGGTGAGCCCCCCACGTGCACACTGGAATGGACAGGCCCTCCGGCCACAGAGCCGCGGCTGGCACAGGCCAGGAGCAGACAGACAAGGCACACATGCTGCTCCTCGAAGGGGAACACCCACAACGTCACAGAAACGACGGGAAAAACACACTTCCCACGCAGCCGTCAGGCTGCCCCGTGACTCTGCTGGGGCCCAGGCATGTCTGCGGTAGACGGCGGTGTTGGTGAAGGACATTGAATGTACCGCGGACCCCTAGAACGAACAAATCCGTCTTGGAGGAAGGACAGCCAGACTTCTCCTTGGAAGCAAACATGGCGGGACTCTGTCCCACGTACTTCGGTCATGTTGTCAGGAGGGACCAGGCTCTGGAGACGGACATCAGGCCTGGTAAGGGAGGCGGTCATCGGAAAAGAAGGGGAAGGCCCCCAACGAGATGGACTGACCCAGTGGCTGCAGCGATGGGCTCGGGGACAGCAGGGATCGTGGGGCTGGCCCAGGACCGGGCAGCGTTTCATTCTGCTGGGTATGGGGTCGCTGGGTCGGAGCTGACTCAGTGGCACCTACCACTCCTGCCAACGCATTCCTGTCTTCATGGGCCCCTTCTCCCACAACAAAAATTTAAAATTTAATTTTATAACTGTGTTAGTGCAAAGATGAATATAATCCAGGCTGGACCATGTTCAAGTCCTTCCTTCTGATTTAAAAAGACATTAAATATTATATGGTTATCCAGAAGTCCCGCCAGCCCTGGATGGTGTGCCAACTGTCTCCAACGGAGGGTCCCACCTTGGGTGGCTGTGGGAATAAGCTTAACTCCTTCTGGGTCAACTTCCCACTAAGGGACAGCCTGGTGCAGGGAATTCATTACTATGGCTCTTCTAGCCATGGTCTGTGAGACTCCACCCTGGAACTATGCAAATGTGGGGTGCCTGGGGCCCACCACGGGGACTGGACAGTTCATCAGTCATGTAAACAAGGTATGTGGTACCCTTGGGGGTCAGAACCGTGGAAATACGGTGTATGGACCCCTAATGTGGGGACTGGTTACTTTTGTCACTCTGCTAAAATGAGTCCTCCCAGGTTCAGAACGGGGGGGGCGGGAATCTCACTGACATCAACTGAGAAGAGCCTGAGGTGAGGTGGAGTGAGTCCGTGGACCCGAGATCCCTGCGCTGGACCTCGTGGCAGAGAGACGGCAGAGACAACTGGCAGAGAGATGGCTGAGGGACAGCAGTAGCAGAACCAAGAGACCGGGACAAGAGGGAGTGGCAGGCGGCAGGGTTGCCGGCCCACAGAGCAGGAAAGCTGAGGGCCCTTGGATGGAGGCTGGCTGACAGACTGGGGTGCTCCCAGCTGCCCCTATTGGCAGAGCTGAAAGGGCTTTGTAACACTTCAGGGAGCATGGCAGAGGCCAGGCCGAGAGGCCAAGGGCCAGAGAGAGGTATCCCTGTGGGCATGGCTGAGGGGAAGCTGTCCTGAATTACAGCTTAAGCATTACCGAACCTTAATTGTAACCTGTTACTTCCCTAAAAAGCCCTTAAGTGGGAGTATTGTCTGTGACTTGTGTGTGGCCACTGCAAGGAATTACTGAACCAAGCAGAGCAAGGTTGAGTGCTATGGGAGGGACGGCTGGTGTCAGAATTGATAAAAAGGCTGGAAGTTGGAAGGGTGTCTGACCTCCACCTCATCCCCATCCTTTTGTTGCTAAGCATTGAACTTAGAGCACAAAACGATCTGCTCCTAAGCTACCCAGGTTCTGGAGAATCACTCAGATTGGCTTCCAGAGCTAACCTGCTACCTCAATAGTTCACACCTATAGCTGCTGTTGTTTCTGGGTGCCGTCCAGTCCATCCTGACTCACGATGACCCCATGTGACAGAGTGGAACTGCCCCACAGGGTCTCCCAGGCTGTCAGCCTTCACAGAAGCAAAGCCCAAACCACACCCACTGCCATGGAATCTATTCTGACCCACAGCGCCCCTAGAGGGCAGACTGGAACTGCCCACAGGGTCTCCAGGGCTGTCAATCTTCACAGAAGCAAAGCCCAAACCACACCCACTGCCATGGAGTCCATTCTGACCCACAGCGCCCCTAGAGGACAGAGTGGAACTGC